TACTTACCCTTTCTTGTGGCATGGAGTCCTTTGGTACTCTGATAAAGGCTATGGGCCCTTTCTCAGAATCATGTTTTTAAATAATGGAAGGAAATGCTCAATTTCAATTAGAAGTCAGTGAAAATAAAAGATGGAATTTTCCCATCCAAATTCATGGACCCCCTGAAATCTTTTCAGGGACCCCTTTGGTGGGGAAGGGGTCTATAGACTCCAAATTTGGAAACTCTGCCTTAAAGAAAGAGAAGTATATCAGCAGACAGAAAGATAGGGGTTATATGGAAGAGATCATTTCAGGAATATTTGGAACAGTGGCAAAATCTGGAAGTAGCAAAGGGAATATAAGTTGGGGAAACATCAAGGTTCATGGTTTTCTGCCTTGTCTAGCCTTCCAGACACAGAAATCCACCACCTCCTACCTTTCCAGAATTATCTCATGCTCCCTCTTCTCTTGTCCCCTTTATTCTGAGCAGCAGAAAAAAAAAATGGATGATTAACTATTCCCCAAACACTGTCCCAAGCCTTCCTGCCCTCTTGGCTCATATATTCTCCTTATTTCCTTCTCCCTTTAAATCTTCATTATTTTAGAGCTCACATCAAATGTCACTTCCTCCACGGAAGTTTCCCTGAACCCTCCCCTTGCGCCAGCCAAAACTGGAAAAGATCTCTCTGTGATCTGAGCTCAGAGCAAACTCTAGCATATTTTATGTTCCTATATTTCAATTTTTATTCTAGTCATTTGTATACATTTAGGGATGAGCTGTTTTGATTAGTTACTGAGTGCAAGCTTCCATAGTTCATGATATCTAGCCAAGTCTAGACCAGACCATGATTCACACATCCCATCATGATGCTCCTCTTGCCATTTGCTCTGCTGAACCCCTCCCTGCTGGGTAGATAGATGGGTGCTGCAGTGGATGGAGAGGGCCTGGAGTCAGAAAGAGTTGAGTTCATATCTGGCCACAGAAATTTACTAGCTGTGTGATCCTGGGCAAGTCATATAACCCTGTTTGCCTCAGTTTCCTCATCTGTAAAATGAGCCGGAGAAGGAAATAAACCATTCTAGTATCTTTGCCAAGAAAATCCCAAATTGGATCATGAAGAGTTGGTCACAGTAGAACACCTTTTCCCATCCTTTTTTTTTACCTCTAGCTCTAGCTAAAGAAATTAAATCAAGACTACTATTATTTCGGGTAGCTAGGTGGTGCAGTGGATAGAACACCAGCCCTGAAGTCAGGAGGACCTGAGTTCAAATCCGGCCTCAGACCAAACACTTGACACTTACATGCTGTGTGACCCTGGGCAAGTCACTTAACCCCAGTTGCCTTAAAAAAAAATAGAAAAAAAAAGACTACTTTTATTTCTAGTAAGGGGGTGTCAATTGACTGTCCTATATATCAGTTCACCATCCCTGTGACTCAAAATTAAAATTCCTGCTCCTTTACATACATACATACCTACATAAATTTATACATGCACACATATATGTGTATATGTATGTATTGTATATATGTATAAATGTATGTAAGTGTATATATTAACACACACGCACATATATTTTTGTATGTATGCTGTCTCCTCCTATTAGAATGCAAGCTCATTGAGGTCAGTGACTCTCTCATTTTTTGTATTCATATCCCTAGCTTTTAGCATAGCACCTTGCTCATAATAGACATTTAATAATATTTTTACTAATTAATTCATTTCATTTCATCACCACATATATGGTAAGCCTCCTTGGCTCAAAAGAAAAAAAACATAGTCCCTGCCCTTAAGGTGCTTGCCTTCTACTGGGGGTGTACAACATATACGCAGATAAATAAATGCAAGAAAATTTGAGGAGGGACAGAGCAGTGACAGTGGCGGGGGGCAGGACGGGTTTCTCATCAGAGACATCATATGAGCTGAGCCTTGGAGGAGACAAAGGGTTGGAAGATAGAGGTGTGAGAAAGGAATGAATGCATTCCAGGCCTAGAAGTGACAGATAGGATACCAAATCTGGGGAACAGCTAGTAGTCAGTTTGGCTGGAATGTAGCGTATGGAAAGGGGATTAATCCAATAAGGTGGACTAAATCCAAATTACGAAGGGCTTTAAACGATAAGATAAAGGGTTTGTATTTTGTATGTGAAGCCCTGTTTTTTGAAAGGGGACTCTGGTCAGGTCGATGGCGCAGTGCATAGAATTCTGGACCCTATAGTCAGCAAGACCTGAGTTTGGCTTAGACATTCACTAGCTATGTGACCCTAGGCAAATTACCTAACCTCCATCAGCCTCAGTTTCCTCATCTATAAAATGAGAATAATCATAACACCCACTTTGTAGGGTTATTGTGAGAATCAAATGAGGTAACATATACAAAGCACTTTGCAAATTTTAAAGTGTAAACTTCAAATCCAGCCTCAGACACTTACTAGCTATGTAACTCTGGCCAAGTCACTTAACTTCTGTGTACCTCAGTTTCCTCATCTGTAAAATGGGAATAAAAATAGCACCTACCTTCCGGAGTTGTCGTGAGGATCAAATGACATAGATGCTAGTGGTTGTTGTTGTGGTTGTTGTCACTTGAGTTTCATGAGATTACTTCGGTAATAGTGGGGAAGATGGATTCGAGAGAGGAGGTACTCAGGGGAGTGAGAATAATTAAGAAACTGTTGCTGATAATCTAAGTGTATGGAGGTAATGGGGGTCTGAATTAGGCTAGTAGTCCTGTGAGCGGACAGAAAAGGGCAGAAGCGAGGCATGCTGTGGAGGCAGAATCCGCAAGGCATGTTGTGGAGGCAGAATCCACAAGACTTGAAAAGAGATGGTGTACAGAAGGTGATGGAAAGTGAAGGGTGAACTGAACATGGGTGACTGAAAGGACTGTAATATCCTTAACAGAAATAGAGAAACTTGGAGGATGTGTAGGCTGAAGGGGGAAGATAATGAATTCTTTGGACATGTTGAATTGAAAATGGAAAATGCCTACAAGATGTCCAGAGCAGCTAGGTGGCACAGTAGATAGAGTGCTGCGTCTGGAGTTAGGAGGATCTGAAATCAAATGCGGCCTCAGATGCTTGCTAGCTATGTGACCCTGGGCAAGTCACTTAACTTTGTTTACCTCAGTTTCCTCATCTGTAAAATAAGCTGGAGGAGGTAATGACAAATCACTCCAATATCTTTGCCAAGAAAACCCCAGATGGGGTCATAAAGGGTTGGACACAACTGAAAAATGACTGAACAACCACAACAGAATCAGACATCCCATTGGAGATACCCAACAGGCAATCACTTATGTAGGACGCAGGATAGAGACTAGGTCTAGATATATAGATCTGGGAGTTATCTACATAGAGATGATAGTTGAACTCATCAGAGCTGATGAATTAACCGAAAAGTATGGCAAGAGGAAAGAAATATGTCTCTGGGGACTAGTTTCTCGGTCTGCAAAGGATTGTACAAAGTCTGGCATTCAGAGCTGACTCCAGTCAGCCCTTCCAGTCTTATTTCCCAATTCTCTCCCTTCAAGCACTCTACAATCCAATGAAACCAGGCTGTTCACCACCCCCCAAACACGCCCCAGGCCTTCCCACCTCTATGTTTTTACTTATGCTGTCATTATCTCTGTCTGGAATGTTCCCTCCTTGTACCGCTGCCTGCTGTCATCCTACCAATGTACAAAACTCAATTGAAATGCCATTTCTTTCAGGAAGCCTTCCCCAAGTCTCCTAAACAGAAGCAATCATTACCTCATCCGATCTCATAGTGCTCAGTGTTTTCTTATGTACTTATTTTCATCATATGTATCAGTGAGTAACTGATCACCCACCCACCCCCGCCGTGATCATAAGCTACTCAAGAACAAAACACTAAATCTTATTTATTCTTGTATCTCCTTTAGTGCCCTTTATGAGTATATTACTCATAAAAGTTACTTTACATATTTTTAATAAATAAATGAAAGAATGAATCAAAGTTGCAGTTTATTATAAACATCCAGCCACCAACAAAGTACATTTTGAATGGCCTGAGATGGCGAGGAGATTCAGCGAGGGGCAGAGCTGACCAGAACCTTTATGCCAAGATGGAACTGAAGCCAACCTACCTTCTGGGGTATGTAGGAAAAAAATCCCTCTGATACTCTCTGCTACCTTTAGAATCTATGACATGCAAAATCTTGATTTCATCAGTACAATGACTAACCACTATTTAAGAGTACTCATGATGGGGCAACTAGGTGGCACAGTGCATAGAACTCCAGTCTTGGAGTCAGGAGGACCTGAGTTCAAATTTGACCTCAGACACTTGACACGTACTAGCTGTGTGACCCTGGGCAGGTCACTTAACCTCAATTGCCTCACTAAAAAGAAAAAAAAAAGAGTACTCATGATGAAACATGCTACCCATCTCCTGATAGACAGTTATGGACTCAGAATGCAGGGAAGAGAAGAAGAAGCAATAAGCGTTTCAATGCCTACTATGTGCTAGGCACCCTGCTAAGTGCTTTAGAAATATTATCTCATTTAATCCTACAGATTGAAGCATATTTCCTTTTTCTTTTCTTTTCTCTCTTTTTTGGATATAAAATGCAGGAATTTATTTTGCTCGACTAAACATATTTGCAACAAGTTTTCGGGTTTTTTATATTCTCAATGGGTGGAGGAGAGGAAAAGTTGGAGAAAATATTCAGAACTAAAAATAAAATTCAACTTAAAAAGTAAAACTGTTTTTTTTTAAATTTTAATCTTCATGCAACTTTTCTCTATGCCTAGGAGGAGAAGCAAGTCATTTCCTATTCTGGGGCTCATTTGAACTCAGTTTCTTGAATCTGCCCCATTACCACTCATAAGCACTTGATTTTCACAATTAAGCAAACTGCAAAATGTCCTGCACATCCACAGGTTGCCAGCCCCGCCAGTCCAAGTTGCCCCGCTCCCCAATCTTTCTTTATCATCTCTTTTCGTCATAGTGAGCCTGCTAGCCCAAGCAGGTGTTCAGCAGCAGGACCGAACAAAAACTCACCATTTGGCTTCTTTTTTTGTTTTTTCCTCCTCAGGAAACAGGAAATGATCAGAGTTAAGAAGATTAACAGGATTATCCCTCCTCCACAAATACTCAGGATGTGATAAATGTTCCAGAATTTCACTGTAAGAGAGGAAAAAAAAAAGGATAGTTCACTGGTGATAGGAAGACAGAGGCAAAAGTCACCGTTTAGTTATCCAGGTTGAATGCATGTTATCTCCTCCTCAAGTAGGTCAATGGGAAAAAGTTGTTTCAACTTCATCCCAGACTGGCTGGATCACATAAGAGGTGAATTAATGTTCAAAAGCATCTTGACTGAGTCAACATATGGCATAAAACTCTAAGAATCTCTCTCGGGCATTGTCCTCTCTTTCAGACTAGTAATGTTCTTTATATTCCAAGCTGAAACTACTGGACAGTCAACAAGTAGTAAGTGTATTTGTTATGAGTTGCTTTCCGTCAGGGCTGAGGTGTGGCAGTGAGCCATCCCCACTCTTCCAACTCCACATAATCCATTTGTGGGATAGCCAGCTGGGGCAGGAGGAAAAAAAAACATGACTGTGAATCAGATCAAAGCTATTGGGAAGGCACAGAGATCAAACTCATGACCTTGACCTTAGCAGTATCATTTTACAACCAATACAACTATCAGTCTGATAATGTATCATGAAATCTGACCCAATAGGGCATCAAAACAGAAATAGCTTCTTCAGCTGAATGTTTCCCCCAAAATCAATAGGAGAAAGAAATTTGCTTACTCTTTTGCAGGAAACATGATGGACTCCAGGGAGAAAGTCAAAGGGATAGAAATCAGATTTCTTAAAGGATTTTCCTTAAGAAGAGAAATCTCCCTCCAAATAGGAACTACAGTGGCTTATTAATTGTGGCTTTGCTGTTTTATGCTCTTGGACTTACTTGCCTTTTGCTGATAAACTGTATTATGTCTTAGGTTAACCAATGGGAAGAAGAAATCAAGGCTAATCCTAAGCTTTGGTGATAATGGGCTAAAACATTGAGGATTCTTTGAATAGAACTGAGATGGGGGACTAGGTTAGTTTGAAACCAACATTAACTGAAGGGAAATGGTTAGACTGACAAGATCCTCCAAGCCTTTTACCGTGTGCCTGAAGCAGTTCATTTCATTTGGAGACTGTGGTTCTGGTTTTAAAAAATTCAGAGGATGGTTTGGTTCATGACTGCTGCATCCTCATTGGGGCCAAGAGCTCTATGTTGACCCAGGTTCTCAGGCTTTCCTAACCTGGATCAGGAACTCAGGAGCAAAACTAGAAGCAATTTAGGCAGTAGGCTGGGGAGCAGAGGGAGGGCTCTGCTGCCTGCTAATCATAGGATGAAAAACTTAAAGATAGAAGACATTTTAAGGATCATTTAGTTCAAACCCCTAATTTTACACATGAGGAAACTGAGACTTGGAGAGGATAAACAACTTGTCCAACATCATACAGGTATTAAGTGGCAGGGCTGTGATTGAAATGATGTTGGGATTTGAACTAAAACTCACTGCCTCTAAACCTGGGATTGTTTCCACTGCATCATGTTTCTGGTTTGATATGATGGCCAGGGACTACTGAGTTTAACTTATGGTACAGAGGTCAGGAGGGCGATTCAAACAAACCCAGATAAAATTAAGTAATGAACCTAAAAGAAAAAAAAATGTTTTAAGAATTAGCTGGCCCTAGATAACCCTAGAGAAGCATCATGGCATAGGATAGAGAGGAAGCCTTTGAGTCAAGAAGACCTGGGTGTCCTATCTCTAGTACACCATGGCTGTATGACCATGGACAAGTCACTTATCCCTCAGGACTCAACTGAAATCTCACTTTCTGTAGGTAACATTTCTTGAGTCCCTCCAGTTGCTACAAAAAAAAAAATTCCCTCTGAGATTACTTTCATCTACTCTGTATGATTGGGTATATACCTAGTTATTTATGTGGTATTTCAATATTAGAACATACCTCCTTGAGGTCAGGGGATGTTTGTTGCCTGTCTTTGTGTAGAGGTGGGATGATTGATTTACTCAGCCCTGCCCAACTAAAAATAGAATGTTCAATCCATCAAGCATAGGCTTTGGACAAAGTGTGGGAAAAGTCCTTCAAACTGTAATGACATTACACAAAAATAATGTTTGGGTAAGCCAAAGAAACTTGCCCACTATAAGTCTATAGATTAACCAGTTAGAGAACCAGAATCATTCTAGAAAAGCAAGTATGGCTTTCTAGCACACCCTTGAGGAAGAATCAGCTGGGGCTAGGAGGGAAGGAAGGAAGGAGGGGCTTCAGATTTGACCTTAGCCACTTCTCTTTCTCCATCCTTTGTATGAGCAGGACCTTGAAAGCTTTGTAGGGTCTGGGGAATGTTGGACCTCTTTCCATTGGTGTCCTTGATGAATCCCCATACCAGTCAAGGACAGATAAATCCAGATTCATTGCATAAGGGAGCTAAATGAATACTTCGTGAATGGGAGAAAAGGACTTCAAACAACCAGGATCTGTGAGTTACCCCTTTGTTAGATGTGCTTTCTTAGCTTGAGTCTACTTTCCCCTGGACTCTGTATGTATTTGTGGGAGAATGTGTCACAGACATTTGGAGGGATGTTTTATACCAATTGTTATTGTACCACCTGATTAAATCCCCTTTTCTAAAAGCTATCTAAGGCTGGCAAACTAAACAATTCTCAACTGATAATGGAACCAAACTGGTAGGGGCTCAAATCAATGGCATTAAAGAATCACTCCTGCCTCCTCAGAGGTACCCCTAGAACCCTGAGAGGGAGATAAAGTCATGCTCTGGAAATCTAACTCATCAATGGTAGTAAAGTTTACGCTCAGGATTTCTCAGAGCTCATGTGGGCTACATTTGTATCACCAAAGTTTAGCATAGTGCCTGACACATAGTAAGCACTTAATTATTGCTTTTTGACCGCTTGTAAATTGACTAATACATGTCCTCAGTGCCACAAGCTAAGAATATTCATTACAGAAAGTTCTACCCATCTTCATTAATTGAGATTTTTTTCTATCCTAAGAATTCCCTACACTAATGGAGTCACATATCTGGAACCCTCTCAATGCCCTCCCCAACAAACTAAAGTTCAAAGATGGAAAAAATATATATTATGACTTGCATTTACACAACACTTTAAAATCTGCAAAGCACCTTACTACACTTGTTATCTAATCTGACTATCACAACAATCGTGAGGTAGATGCTATCATTAGTCACATTTTATAGATGAGGAAACAGGTGAGACAACCTACCCAGAGTCAAATAACCAGTAATGTCTGAGGCAGGATTCAAATAAGGGTCTTTTTGACCCTAAGTCCACCAGTCACATAGAATATAGAATTTAGGTCACTTAGAATGTCATAAGCATCAGAGATGGAATTTGAAACCTTGCCCCCGAGCTCTTTCCTCTATACTGGTCCATACATGGGATTGAACTTGGTAACCACAATACTTAAACCTAGTCTTGGACTGAAATCACAGATCAATGGAATATTGAAGCATACTCTGGACGAGAACAGCTTTCAGGTTGCTGAAAATGAACTTTTTCTTCACCTCCTAGCTAAAGGCAGTTAGGTGGTAGAGTGGAAAGACCACTGGGCTTGGAGTTAAGAAGACCAGAGTTCAAATCTGGCCCCAGACAGTTACTAGTTGTATGACCCTGGGCACACTTAACTTGTGTCTGCCTCAGTTTCCTCATCTGTAAAGTAGGAATCATAATAGCACCTACCTCACAGGACTGTCATGAGGATCAAATGAGATAATATTTGTAAAGTGCCTGACACATACTTAATCATATTTAATGCTTAATAAACGTTAATTCCCTTTCCTTTTCCCTTTCTACTATGCATAGGTAGACAGGCTTATGAGACCAATAGCAACATGAAAGGAAGGGAAAAACTCTTCTGTCTTGGCTATAGGTGCTATGATTAAATACATGTGGCCACAAAGTCTAGGTACAAGCCTAAACATACATCTACTAAATGGGCAGGGCAGAGGAGGACTAGGAAAGAGTTCAGGCTCTTTTTCTCTATTAGAATCCACTTATATGGGAGGGATACCAGCACATACATTAAAAAGTACACACTCTGAAACAAAGGCATTGCCACACTAAATCAGGCTCATGGCCAACTTAGCCTAATTTTCTGTCATCCACAGATGCACCAAGGGTCATGCCCTAGAAGAACTGGGCTGTCCACACTAACGTACACCTTGAAGGCTCAGTACATAACAACAATGTCCATTTACACAGTGCATCACAGTTACAAAGCACTTTACAGACCTTTTCTCATTTTATCCTTCTACAACTCTTTGAAGTACTGGATATTGTTGCACCCATTTTCTGGATGATGAAACTGAGACTGAGAGAGGTGAAGAGGTGAACCTAAGATCACACAATTAGTAAATAGCAGAGCTGAGATTCAAATCTAGGTCTTCTGGCCCCAAATCCAGTGTGCCTTCTTAGTACTACACCAGGCTGCCTTTCCTAGTAGCCATTTATGGCTCTTTCTAATCACACACATGCACCTAAATAAAATCTTCTTATATTCTCTGCCAGCATCACTTCTTAGGGTAATGAGTTTCCCAAGTTTATCTCCTGTGGGGTGGAATAGGGCTTTCTTTTACTTGCCCTAGCAAATTTGCCCACAGCTTAGCAATAAGTTGCAATTGGTGCCCTACCCAGTACTACAATGATGGCATCTGGTCAATAAGCCCATGGTCACATGTCCGTAGCATTCACGGTCTTCTCAATTTTTAGCTTGTCCTCTCTCAGATGTCGCTGTTACAGACTGAGTGTTGTAACTCCCTCCTCCTGGCAGCCAGCCTTCTAATTGTTAGCTGCTTCTCTAGCTCCATTTAATTATCTTGTGTGCCAGCCATCAGAACCATAGACACTCTTCCATAAAGCCAAAGATATACAAAAACAGGGCTGAAAGCTCTCCAACATAGAGATTTGTAGTTTTGTGTTCAAGCCTCTCATTCTGTTATAATATACATATATATGGAGATATGTATCTTTTTTGGTGTTTGTTAGGTTCAGAATAAACAAGTAAATGGATAAATGAATGAATGAAGAAAGGAAGAAAGACAAAAAGGAAAGA